TAGACAAATTAAAAGCATCTTTAATATCAGTTGCATATCTATGTATAAAGAAGATGCTATGCTGCCAAGGAAAATCAACATTATCAAAAATCTTAAGGTCCCTATTTTTCCAAATCTGCCACAATGAAGTATCAAAAAGAGTAGGCTCAATAAAAGGATAAGATCTAGACTTTAAAGTGGACTCCACCCAGATTTTAAATGAAAAATTCCTGAAATTAAACAACCAAGTACCACAATTCAAACCAATCCAGATAGTTCTAGCTTTAGGACAATTTCTGAAGATATGATTTAAGTTTTCAATTTGTTCACCACAATTATTACATAAAGCCGAATTTGATAATCCTCTAGTAACTCTTAGGCTGTTGGTTAGCAACTTCTGATGCAGTGCCAGCCAAACAAAGCCTTTGAGTTTTTGTGAGATTTTCAATTTCCATAACCAGAGCCAATTCCCAGAATCAACTCCCTGGTCAGTCACCAACTCAAAGGCTGAAGCAGTAGTGAAAGCACCACATCTCGAGCCCTTGTAATGTGGCATATCTAGAAAAGTTACAAACCTAGGAAGCTGAACCCTCACAACAAGATCCCAAGCTTCCCTAGGCAACTTGACAGATATGACACCCACATCCCATCTACCCTCATCATCCAAGAGAGTATCCACCTTCTCCGAGCTAATGAGGGGAGAATTAGGAAATAAAGAGACCAGACTGCACTCCCTGCACCACCAATCAAACCATATGGATACATTAGAACCATTGCCAATACACCATCGCATTGCTTCACGCCACTCAATAGATACATGTTCTGATGCCTTCACAAATGAGACGTAAAAGTAGTGGGTAATTGTTTTTACTATTCAAATTTAAATTGGAGCATCACATAGAGTCGTTCCTAAAGCAAAATATAATTTCTCATATACTTCATCCAATGGGGTGTTATTATTGGTTTTAAATTATGGAATTTATTACATTTGTTTTAAATTTTTAAGAAATAAAAAGTTAAGTTGGTATAAGTAAATGAAATAGAGTAATGTTTCAACAGCATTAAATAATTTCTCTTGTGACAATTGACTGGAGTTGTTGCACAAAATACACACATTTTCACGAAAAGTTTTTAAGTGGTCATGAACATGGCCATTAGCTATATCCTAAGAATGTTGTGATTGATTAAAGAGATACAACTGATAATTTTGTATTAGGACATGAATGAATAGTAAATACTTTTGTAGTCATTTTTGAGAGACAACATAACATATATCATAAAATAAATAGTGCAGAGTATTATTCTAAAATTACCAAATAACTTTCTCCAAATTTAAATGGATGAACATACTCTTTAGATGAGTGTACGGTTTTAGGCCAATAAACCAATGAAAAAGTAGGTATTATTTTCACACATCCTGACAAATTCATTTCCACAATACACAGAACAAAACCATTAATTCAAATCAAGTTCCCACAAATAGCTGACATGCAAAAACTTCAAATTCAGCCAAGAAAAGCCTAAACTCAAACTATGCATATGCCAATACCAACAAACCAATGGACACAACAAGTGCAGGGCAGCCAAGTAAATCAGTTTATAAATTTGGTCTAGCAACACGTCTATACAAATGGCCTTTCAGTCGTTGGCCAAATTTTTAAATTAAATATTTGGCTAAATTACACTCAGTTATCTTGATTTTTAAAGAAAATATAATAATGCTATGACTTCCGAACTGCATCAGCTATTGCGCGGCTACGCGGTATGACCTGAAAGTGATCATTCAAGCCAAAATGTGCCATGAGAAGCCAGACATGAGTAAGAAACTCCCCTCCTCGTCTCAATTGTTGAGCATGAAATCTTCCACTGCATTGGCTAGCTGCATGACACAACATTTCCACCCACACTTCACCATTTATTTCCCATCAATTTCCTTTGTTACTAAGTTGTGATGCTAGCTTACACCCATGCAGTATCACAGAATTACTCCTCTCCAGTTTCTTCTGTGCATACTTTTGAAGCAACTACTCTTCCAGGGTCTTTGTTCTTCTGTTGCTTCTGGATACTTCTGCTGGCAGCTGGTGGTGGCAGTTTCAACCACCACCACCAGCGGCTGCTTCTTCCGGCTTCTGATGCTGGCTGCTGGCTACGGCCGCCGCCACTGGCATCGCTATTGGATGGATCCTCCTCGTCCTCGTCCTCGTTCTCATCCCCATCCTCTTCCTCCTCCTCATCATCATCATCATCATCATCATCATCATCATCTTCGTCTTCATCTTCATCTTCATCTTCATCCTCGTCCTCCGAATCTCCCTCCTCAATTTACTCTCTTGGCCTGAGAAAATTGTCCCAGATATCACTGATGCCCCAAATGTCCCCCTCCTTGTCAAGGAAGTCCCCTAGCCCGGCAAAAATGTCCCGGGACTTGATGTGTGCCATCCCAAGTGGCAACATATAAGGATGATCGACTAGAAGGTAAAGCATATATCGTGACAAATAATTGCCTATTTCATTAGGTTCGCCGCCTCGGTAGTACATGATTTTTGTAGCAAGGTGCCAAGTAAGAATACTCTAGTCGAACTCCAATTCGACACTCCACGCAAGATCTTGATCATTGTACCTTTCCATTGTGCAGCCTCCCCTCTGCCTGTATAAAGTTTTAAGATCTGTGTCGTAGCCATACCTTTCCGTCCATTACCTAACACTGTCATGGATCTCTTTGAGGACTCTGCCTCTTAAATCAACTTTGCTGAGTGATATAGGAGCACTCTTGTATTGGATAGTATCTAGAAATTCTTCAATGCCTAACATTTTTTGGACGCTAAGGCAGGGGAGGGGGTTTTCTCTCAAGGCAAATTTTAGCAGACTAAACTGAGCAATGGAATTTGACCACCTCCGTTTTGGAATTGCCCAATTAGTTAGTGGTGAATGTGAAATGCACTTGATTACTCGTAAGATGGTGATTTTCTTACGCTTAATTAACCAATAAGCGGTTTGGTCGGAGAGACTTAGTTGCAGAAATGCCCATAACTCCACGAGAAGAGTGGCCACCAACAATACCAAAATTATGGTACGGTCAATCTTGGAGTGGTGGCGATGTTTCTCTATGACTAGTATTATCTCATGCAAAGATACCATCAGCAATACAATGAGGGTCAGAAATATTCCGATGAATCGTCCAGCAATGCCCCAAGAAGAGTAGACTACCTTTGCCTTTGTGTAGCGCAAATCATATATAAGCCCTAGTTCAATCTCAATTATTCTGAATGTGCTGCTCGCACGGTGGTTTTCGAAGATTGACCAACTTGCACACCCATCTTGAAAGCCCATTACAAGATCTGAAAAGAGACGCTTGACCATCTCAAGAAACTCATAAGCTGCAAGTAATTCATTTCCATCAGGAAAACTTTCTAGTGATGATGGAATGCCATTGGTTAAATGGCTCGGCACGTCAACCTCAAGAGTTTGATGTGGTGTGACATGGTACCCCTCCAATTGCTTCAATCTACATTCCTCCACAACTTTGGATTCACTAGAAGGGATATCTGGAATCGAGTCCCTAAATTTGTTGTCACTTGCCCAATATAGAACCCACAACATTTTCCACATAACTAACAAGCCCAACATAGAACATTACAACAAAGAGTAGGGAAAATAGAGAGCTTGTCCAAGCCAAAACGAAGATGTACATTGTGGTCATTGCTTGGGAAACTAGTCCAAATGAGTGTCTTTTCCAGAACTCATTGTCTTCCAAGGAGTAAGCACTACAAAAAAAGTTGTTTACGGTGGCGCTTCGATCAAGACGTTTTTAAAAACGTTGTGATACATTTCAATGGTGGACACGCTTTTCAAAGAGTGATATCACCTAAATTAACAGGATGCCCTTTTGATTGTCTCAATGAGACAAGTCTGTTTAACTTCACAGAGACTTAACATTTCCAAAGGGCTCTCTCTCTCTAAAATGGTTCTCTCTCAGTAGCCCTAATTAAGGAGCTGTGGATGCAACCAGCAATGAAGACTTCTTGGAGTTTATAGATCTACAGAGAGATTGATGCTTCTAATCTCAACGATTTCTTGTTCAATCTGGATCTCAATTTCGATTTGTGCACTAGGGCTTAGGATTTAATATTTTCCTTCGAGATTTTTCAATTTCCCTTAATCTTTACCGATCTAGGTCTTCGTTTTTCATGGATTCAGGTATCCAATCGCTCGTGATTAGGAGTTGCTAAGTTCACTTGAGATACAGAGCTTTCATGGTAGCAATCTTGTATTTGATTTACTAGTTTTCATATATGTTCAAATTTATTATTGAAAATTATTGTATTTACATTTGATTAGGGTTTTGATTTTCATTATAGGGCATGTTATTCATCAAGTCTGATCTAGACTTGCTGTGAGTGAACTCAAGATTCAGAGGTTTTCATCACTACACAGTAACGATCTGGATCTGTGTTCCATTTAAATAAACTCTTGCTTAGGTTTCGATTTTCATCTCTAAATATGTTTGTCTGTTACAGGACTTGGATATTTCACAAGATTCAATACTGCAGAATGTAGATGAGCAGACAGTTCGTAGTCTCAATGGATGCAGAGTGACTGATCAAATTTTGCGTTTGGTCCCAAATATTCAGGTTGTTATTGAATATTTTTGTTCATAAATTTGGCTTTTTGTATGTGTTGCTGATTGTGTTTATTTTTGTCATGGTCAGAGCTTTTGTACTGCACTGAGATGTATGACACTCTGGGCAAAGCGACGTGGGGTTTATTCAAATGTGAGGATGCTCTTTCATTCTTAATGTTTCTTTGTTCTTGCTGCTGTGTCTCATTTCTGACTACATATGCTGTGTGATTCTCTGTCATAATCAGGTTTCGAGGTTTCTTGGTGGTATCAATTGGGCGTTACTTGTTGCTCGTATATGCCAACGTTACACATGGTGTATCATGTACATTGATGAATAAATTTCATTAAATATTAGTATAATTAGTGATGTGTAAAATATGTGGTGCATTTGCCATCACTGGGGTTTCTCTAGCCGACGGAAAAAAAGCACATCAATTGTTGAGATTTATTCCTCGGATGCGCTAACATGATACATATTCATTGTAGTACTTGATTCTGTTCTTATCATGTGTTGGTTGGATCTCATTTTTTTTAATTGTTGAGATTTACTAATATGTTATTGCTTGTTTAGGTCTCCGATAATTTACTTCATGATGCGAGTAGCAATCAAGAAACTTTAATCTTTTGTTCTCAAACCCTCAGAAGCAAGGTAATCTGATTCTCCTGCTATTCATTATCTGTGCATTTGTGATTTGTACCAAAGGTTACTGTTGTATAATGCTATTCACTTATGAATATGTCTTTCGATTTGCATTTATTATAGGTTTTGGTATATCAAGGCAGCCTTTCTTTTCACATATCATAGTGCATTTTTCTTGTGATGGACAGGTACAACGAGATTTTGAAGAGCTGCCTTCTGAAGCTTTTCGCCCGTTACGGGATTTATTAAATGTAAGAATATTTATAGGTTTTACACTTTTATGAGGTTCTCATTCAGAATTTGGCATGAGTTATCATATGATTTGTTGGTAGTGCCATTTCTATCTATAATTTCATTGTTTACTGGGGGAGCCTTGGGATCTACATGTTTGCTAATTGAAAGGGGCAAATGCTATACCATAGTTAGTGGGAACTGAAAGTTATGCTTTACATAGATCCTTTATAAGCTTAGCTTGTTCTTCTATTCTTTTCTTTTTTGATAAATCTGCAGCAGTGTTCTTTCTTATCCATTATAAAGACGTGTGAGGATTGCAGATGGGCAGTTTGTAACTTTGTATTTTGAATCCTAATATCTTGAGCAAGATCTTGCAATCTGAAAAAAAATACGCCAACGTTGGTGTACCTAGTGCCCCCTTTCCCTCATTGTTTTTTTCCCTAATTTTCCACTGTTGGTAGTGTAAATAAGTTTTGTCTATATGCTGCTATTTCTGTTTAGTGCATGTAAACTTGTTTTCTTGCAATTGTGTGCATATGTTGATTCATGTTTGTGATGCAAAAGAGTTTCTTTGATTGATTACCAGCTTCCACATGGTTGTAAATGCAGAGCTTATTGAAAACATTTCACAAAGGCCCCCCCTAAAGTTAGAACCCAGGTATTGTTGTTTTCTCTGTACAACCACTTACACTCTTGTGCGCGCACACACAACTTGGAATGTAAATACAAAGATATGTCCAGCTAAAATTTGTCACCTTTTAGATTAGCCTTGCTGTGGCTGCATTGGCTGTTCATGTTCCTGCTAAAGATTGGGGTGATGGTGGCATTGTAAATTGGCTTAGAGATGAGATGAATTCTCACCCCGAATGCATACCAAGCTTCCTCGAGCTACTAAGAGTTTTGCCTGAGGTATACTCAATTCTGTTCAGAAGAAATATTTAATTTGAAATCAAGCTTTGTCTGTCGATGAGATCATAAAAGGGATGACGCTATTGGGCCTTAGGTAGATATGTTATTGGGTGCTACTACTTATCTTGGGGATTTGACTGTGGCTTAAAGAACTCGTTTTGGAACAAAATAAACTTCAAGTTAGGAAATTGTGCAAATGAGAAGTTTGGTAATGCTGATGCATATGTGCACTTCAAACTGTCTTTGAAACAAATTTAATACCTATGATGTTTCATGTTAAGATGTTTTTTTTGTGTCCCCACATGTCTAATGTGTCCAATTTCTCCAGCTTATCCGACCTGTGTTCAGGGCATGTTCATGTCTAACAAGTGTCTGACATCGTGACCGCCATAGCGGTGTCCATGCTTCATAGGCTAAGAAGCATGGCATAAACACTACATAGATGTGTTGACAGGAATATTTTCAGACAATGTCGGACATGACACGTGGATGACACAAAAATATATAGATTTGAATATTTATTATATATTATATATAGTGTAAGCAATTATTATATGTTATGTATATGAATTATTTAATTATTTTTTTACAACAAAATGCAATGCAACACTAATTTTCAAAGTCTGAAGGATGAGAATAGGCATAAATTTATATATATATTTTTTATCATTATATTCCAAATTATTTTATTCTCTCTCTCTCTCTCTCTCTCTCTCTATGCATATGTCTGTGTTACTCTTGGGAAACTGAAAGCTTTGTGATTGGGTATTTTTGGCTGTTCATGTGGATGTTCTAAATTCTTATGTGATTATGATATCCATTTTGCACAACTTCCCCACCCTAGTTTACATGATAGAACTCTCATAACTGGTTTGAATATCTGTTTGTTTCAGGATCCCTGCTTCTACACTTGCTTCTCACCCATTGGTGCTAACAGCTCTCTCTAGCTTGAATTCTGATATCCTTTCAGAGGCATCCGTGAATGGTACAATGATTGACACAAACTAATTTTTATATATGGTCGCACTATGATAGATTTTTCAACCATTCAAGTTTAATGAAGTTGTGTTAATGGAATTGGATGATTCAGTTATATAATCATCATTTTGGTGAAGATGATTGATGACTTGATGAAGCTGAAGAGAGCTGTGGATGAAGTTATTTTCAGAGAATTTGGAGAGCACACTGAATATTATTATTTTTATGATTTTGTATTGTCATATTGTATTTAAAGGGGTTTTATAAGTTTTTTAAGTTTTTTCATTTTTTAATATATGTAAGCACAGATAATTTTTTTTATTTAATTCCTTTGTATATAGTTTTGAATATTTAATTTCCATTTATGAAATATATGACGTTATTCTATTCAATATGTGGTTATGATTCAAAATATAGTATATAGTGTGTATTACATTATTCAAATGTGCATACAAAAATAATATTGATTATTTTTCAAATATGTAGCACATTTTTTTTATCACAGATTTTATTAGTTATTAATCACACTTAAAAGATGTGATCTAAATGTTATTAATCACACTTAAAAGATGTGATCTAAATGTTATTAATCACACTTAAAAGATGTGATCTAAATGTTATTAATCACACTTAAAAGATGTGATCTAAATGTTATTAATCACACTTAAAAGATGTGATCTAAATGTTATTAATCACACTTAAAAGATGTGATCTAAATGTTATTAATCACACTTAAAAGATGTGATCTAAATGTTATTAATCACACTTAAAAGATGTGATCTAAATGTTATTAATCACACTTAAAAGATGTGATGTAAATATTTTTAATCACACTTAAAAGGTGTGATCTAAAGTTTTTAATCACACTTAAAAGGTGTGATTAAAAAACTTTTAACCACACTTAAAAGATGTGATCTAAATGTTATTAATCACACTTAAAAAATGTGATCTAAATGTTATTAATAA